TAGCAAATTCATTTTGTATAAATAGAATAGCTTTTTGCTTAAGTTGTAAATTAATTCAGTTGTAAGTTTATAAACTCATTTGTAAGTTTCATACGAGTTTCAAATTATAAATAAAGGAATCAATTTAAATCTACACAAACTACTTTTCCTTCAACATTATTCCTCATCTAGGATTGTTGTGATACACTACACTAACTTGCTATTGAGTTCATCATTACGAGTTCGATTAACATATCTTAAATTCTAAGACATGATAAATTGCCGAGTTGATTCAAGTATAACGGATACCTGTAGGATTTAGAGAAAATCCTAAGGTCGAAAACTCTAATGTGTAGAATCAGCTGTCGCAGCCTTTCAACTTAAACGTTAAGATAAACAAAAATGAACTCGGTGATACCATGTATTGATAAGTACTAAATAACATAATTATACACTTGAAGCAAGCTGAACTGATATTGCTAAAATATTTGATATAATTAAGGAATCAGCATTTAATACAAATGATCAATTAGCCTATATTATTTAAATGCAGTCATCAATATTCATTAAAGTTCATACTCTTATTTAATAAATAGACAAGTTTTAGAAAAGCAAATTTTATATATTAAGAGTAAAAATAAGTTAGAATAGTCATAATCATTAGAAGAAATTAATGTTCTTATTAAATTATATATAATTATCAATTTTTAGCAAAAGATATAAGAAAAAAATAATTTTGCATAAGATCTAATTTTTGGTATTTGCAAAATAATGAATATTGGATTATAATTAAAACCTTTAAAATAATACTAATTTTATTTTAGCAAATGTATATAATATAAATATTAGTTAGTAGTGAAATAATACACGTATTTTATTATGATATATGCATTAATAACAAATAAATCAAAAGAAAATTATACTTAATTATTTTGAGTGTTAAAGATTTTGACCAAGTAATTATAAATATAATTAATAATGAATTTCTAGAAATTGTTTATAAGGGTTACTTTTTTCACATATGAGGACCACCACAGCAAAAGGGGATGATAGGTCGACCAATCAGATTTTAAGATTTTGTTATGATCATATGATCGCAGGCCTAATCTTTCAGAAAATATATTTTTCCATTATGTTTTATTAGTAAAAAGACGTAAATTTTGTTTTTAGAATGAAATAATTGTTTATTTTTATTAAATATTTATAAACTTTATTAAGACTATATAGCATATAAATTACATAAATTTTAAAAAATAAATATATAATAAGAAAGCCAATGTTCTCAACTTATTACTTATAAAAAAAAATTAAAGTCGTAAAGACAATTTTTTAAAAATCATTTTTTTTGGTGATGATCAGCACAATTAATGACGAATAATAAATTGCAATTTTCTCAAAATCACGTAATCGATGTATCGTCTTCTTTTGCTATAGCGGTTCTCATATATTAAAATTTTGGAAAAAATCTAAACTTCAGGATTATCCAATGAAATATAATAATAATAAAGAATTTAATATTAAATTGCATTTCTAACATCTACTTAAAACTCAGATTTATTTATTAAATCAAACCTTTAATACTTTCAAATACATAAGATGTTGTGCAATATTTTAAAAATAATTATATTCTTAAAAGAGTTAGATGAGTTCTTAAAATAGATCTAAAACTTGAAATTCACTATTATTTTTATTAGATCTTTGGTTTATCTATAAACTTATCAAGAATAATTATTCTCAAATACAAAATTTAGTTAAAGTTTGACATTAGTAATAGCTTACTTTAATTGAAAAAAAGCAAATTGATGTTTATACAATAATTGAATAAAATGCATAAAAAATATTATCAAATACAATTGTAAATAAAAAATAATCATAATAATTATTCTTTTATTGATTTTTTAAAAGGAATTGCATATAATATTTCTTTATAATTTTAGAATGCAATTATATATGAAAATGAAATTAAATGCTATAAATAAATAATAATTATTTATATTTTTAATGTAAAAATATGCTTAATTTTTAATTTTTATTGCAAAATATCTGTTATAAATATTGTTATTCTTATAAAATAAAATAAATTCATTACTAATATTTCTTAATGAGTAAATAAATGATGTAAAAAATTTTATTTAGTTTTGCTTTATAATATTAATATAAAATAGAGAATATAAATGAAATATAATTATAAAAAAACAGAATAAATATAAATTAAATAGATTTAGGATATTAGAATTTAGAAAATTGATCTTTATTAGAATTTAAGATATTAGAATTCAGAATATCAGACTTTGAGATATTAAGAATTTTAGGATAATAGAATTTGTGATATTAGGAATTTTAAGAATTAGAAATATCAGAATATTAGAATTTGAAAAAGTGGCTTCAGTCAAATGTATATTTGGAAAAGTGACTTTTGGGAAATCATATTATAACTGATAAATAGATATATGACAATTAAGATTTTACCATTTTAAAAAAACCACTTTTTCTAAATAAATAATAAAAATAGAAACTTAAGAGGTGTGATATAATGTGATAAATATTTTAATATTAAATAATTCACATGATACAAAGAAGTAGTTATTAATATTCTCATATAATATATATTTTTTTTTTAAAAAAATTCTTTAAATAAATTTAATTTATATAAAATAATATTAAGTTAGATAATACAGAAAATAAGCATATTTTTTCTAACTTTTTAATATAAAACTAGAAATATATTTTTAAATATAAAATAATAGATTTAAGTTTACTATTCAAATTAGTTTTTATATATAAAAAAAAAATACATTATAATATGGAAGGGTTTCTAGGAAAATCAGATTCCTAGAAATTTTTGACTAAAATTAAGAGCTTTAATACAATTTAATCTAATAACATCAAAAACTAAAATGCAATAAAAATCTCAATTTTGCTAAAAAATTCCCGGAACCTGATTTTCCTAGCAATCAACCCATATTCAAATAATTTATTTACAAGAATTAAATAAGAAAAAAAATTTAAAGTTTAATAGAAATTAAAAAGCATTTATTTATTTTCTGGTATAAGATTTACTCTTTATATAAATTAATTATTTTTATATATTCAATTTATACTCATATAAAATTAACAAGGCTAATAAAGTTCTGCTTATTAAAATCCGTAATCAATCAATTAATACTCGTCAAAAATCGTCCAAAGAAAAAAAATTGGTTTGTAACAACTAAAACGGCAGTAATCTGAGAACCTTCTCTCTCAAAGTAGAATGAACAGCTCATTGAATCTGAAAATGCTAATTTGGTCAGACTGTAAGGAGAGCAATTCAATTGCTAGCTAATTTTTTATCAAATAGTTTTGAAAAAAAAGTGTAAGAATGTCAGTAAGGAGCAGATTTAAGCAGTAAACTGTTGTTAGTCTATTACGTATTCAATTCTTGAATAAATTCAAAGTCAAATTTGTACAAAGATTTGAATCGGTAAACAGAATTTTAAAGCGGTCATTCTCATTTCCAAATTTTCTTCACTTTTATTTCCCCCTTAAGAATTTCTATAAACATGCCATTTACAAGTCGTCATCTCAGAGTTACTTTTCATAAAAAAAACCAAGAAAAAAAAAGAAAAATCTCAACTTATAAACTCTTATCCAAACTTCGAGAAGAGTTCCATGCTCTCAACGAAAGAAACGACATTTTGTGAAGAACTTGAGAAGGTAAAAGAACAAATAGTTAATCGATTTAAACAATGTGAAATTTTAAACATTAAACATTTGCACAACTAAAATTATAATTAAAATAAAAAAGAGGGTAAAGCTATGGCAGCTGGCCAGGTGATCCATTAAAATTTACTTTGAAAAGATTATCCTACTTATAACAGATAAAGTAACATACTCATAATTTATTAAGTAGAAAGTGATTAGTATTTATATTTTGTCGAGTAATCTTTGGGAGACACAACCAAACCTCTTCCCTTTCGTGCTCCACGGTATACAGTTTCTATTATATCTATAAGTTCTTGTTTATCTTCCAAAGCCTAATTATAAAATGAAAATAAACATGAATATAAAAAAATGATAAAAAAAAAATTGAAATATCATAAGAATAACAAACCCAATTGATTTTATTATTGTTACCGGTTCCTAAATCTATCATGATGTGTTTATTGCGGAAAAAGAACATAACAGTACAAGGATCGTAAAGTTCATACATCTAAATAAAGAACATGAATTCGAATTTAAACATTAAAAAATAGGTATATATAAAAATAATAAACACCTTATTAAAATCGGGAACTTCTGTAATATCAACCTTCAAACAATAAAAATGAATGATATTAATAACCTTCCTCCTTTGATCTAATAAATAAATAAATAAGTATATGTATGTAATTACCAAATAAATGACAGCAAAATTCTTCACTTTTTCTGCAATTCCGTATAAAGTTTCGTCCATTTTCATACAAGTAGGATCCTAATTATTGAAATAAATGATCTAGAAATGACAATTTATATATATTTACATAGTTGCAATAAGAGAAAGATAACAGATACAAACCCAATCATGCCCAAATCGAATAACGACTACACGATCTTCTTCAGATAAGATGGCTTGATCTACTTGCCAACCTAAAAAAAAAACGAGAACTAAATTTTTAAACCAAGATAAAGATAAACATCATTAATACATTGCTAAAATTATATACCATTAGTCAAATGGGGAAGAAAATATGACATTTTTTTTAAAAATTAATTATTAATGGAAAGGTTGAAAATTGGTTGATTTCATTGATTGCCAAAAATTTATATCGATATGGCCAAATTTTAATTGTTGACCAAATTTTACTTTTTCCGGAACCTTTATTTGTAAGTCACTTTTATATAAAAATGTTGTCATTATTACAAAGTATTAAAGGTACCTTTTCCTCTTTTTTTTTTTCTTTTTTTTTGACGGAAATGTTCAAAGTACCTTTCATAAACAACAAACAAAACCAGAAGTTAAAGAGGATCAAAAAACAATAGAGGTAAAAGAAAGGTTCTTGAAGTTAACTAATTCGATATTATTTGGTATAAGCATTAATTTAATTTTTATATAGTGATCGCGCAGGTGCAATTTTATTATACAGTTAAATATTCAAAGTTAGTAGTTTACAAATACGAAATTAAAATTAAGGCCTCGGATTATTACGAATAGTTCTGTTAATTACTTTAATTCTATCCAACTTAAGAAAATAAAGTAAGTTAAGAAATGGAGGCCGAAACTGAAGCAAAAAATGAAAGACGTCAAGAATTAAGAAATGCAAATTTATTGGCCTGGAGACAAGGAAAACCCGGTGTGTATGATAAAACATTATTTTTGCTTTTGCTTTGTGCTCATTTTAACGTTAAGTAGTTTATGAATGAAAGTGTTACTAATAATATCCTTTTAACGTTTTCAGACTCTTCTGCATTTAAAAATCTCGATTCAAATATTAAAAAGAATACGGGTTTCATTAAAAAATGTAAAACTCAGTTATCAGCAGAATACCAACAACAATTATTGAAGGATATCAAAACATTAACCCTTGAGAAATATATTTCTGAAGTGGTGGCCGCTGTGCTTGAAGGTGCACAAAAGTGTAAAATGACAGCAGATGTTTGGGTCGCTGTAGAAGTAAGTTTCAAATTTTCTGAAAATATTTTTTGATATGAAAATATTAATTTTTGAATTTAATTCCCTTTTTAGGTGATTTCCGCTTTACATCAGCGATTTCCAGATACATTTACTCCATTTTTGACTCATACATTAGCTCGTTCCCTTGCTCCTCCAAATAATAAACAACTCGCAGCTCTAAGTCCTGAACAACGCGAAAAAGAAGAGTCGACACGAAATATAAAGCAGCGTATTTTGCTAAGAATCGCAGGCGAATTATGGTTGACAGGTGTTCTTAGAAATGTTGAAGATGGAATTGCGGCGCTAAATAGTGGGGGCGCGGCAGTTGGAGCCGGAAGCGTGAATGGTGTCAAAGATAATGTTGCCGGGTTCGTTAGCAGCCCGATCAAAGAGTTGAAAGAAATCAAAGAGACTAAGTCCTCCGGAGAAGGTTTCATGTATTCTGTGTTGAAAGATTTGGTTTGTCGTAATACCTCCCTTTGCATAAATGATTTCCAATCTCGATAACCAAATTTGAGCCTGGCATTGTTGAACAAATGTCTGTTTCTTGAATATGAACAGTTATCTCATGACAACAAACATGTCAACTTACCGTTGGCAGTATCCTTCGTCAAATACTTTGGCGCGGAAATGCTCGGTGCGGCCGGTCGTAAAAGTCATCGCGAGGAAACTGTTAAACATGGGGAAGATGCTGCTGTGCCTCCAGTCTCAAACGGTAAACGTGAAATTTCGGCCCATGAAGATGGAAAAGAAAACAAAAACACTGGCGAAGAACCAATTGTTAATGATTCTCAACGAGCACTCTTCAGAGCTTTATTGGTCGATTATTTCCATGGTGTAGAAAAACATTTGATTAAAGACCATCAGGTAACATATTTATCGTGCGTTCTTTATAATTATGTTTGCTTTAATTTTTTTATTATGGATTTTAGAATATTAAGGCATTAGACCGAAACAATCACGAGTATTATATCACTCGAGGAGAGGTTCCAGAAGAGACAAAACAAAATTACGAAAAAGTTGTGAAAGCATTCGAAAAGTTTTTACAAAATGCCCAATTGTAATTTAATAAAAATGTTATTTACTTTTTTAGACTTTATCTAAGCACATGTTTACGTTTTTTTTTTATATTGGAAAATTGTTTATATAGTTTATCGGAGGCTTTGGATCTTGAGATGCCAGATTTGCCTGAGGATGATGGCACAACGAAAATTGGGGGTACAATTATACGTGATAAATCTTCTACAAATGAAAAAGAGGTATTTATATGATGATAAACTATGTATTTAATGAAAATATTAATTTCTCTTGATATTTTAGGATAACTTTACCAACAGCGTCTGGGAAGATGATGATGCACGTAGTTTCTACGAAAATCTTATAGATCTCAAAACGTTGGTTCCTGGTGTTCTTCTTGAAATCAAGTCCTGTAGCAAAAAGGATGATTTAGAGATGGAAAAAGATGAATCCGTAAATTCACTTGATAAGGAGGATAAAGAGGATGAGGAAAAGGCTGGTGAGGATAATCAGTCGAGTGACGAAAAAAGTAAAAATGATGATGATAAGGGAATTGATCAAGAGGTTGATGGAAAAGATCCCATTAACAAAGATATAGATACAAAGGAAGTGACCAAGGAAAAAGATCAAACAGATGCTCAGACATCAAAAAAGGATAGCGAAACAGCTAACAAAACTGGCACTTTGGCTCAGCTTGATTCTTTGTTGTCGCGTCTTCCTAACATGGTTAATCGTGATCTCATTGATCGAGCAGCAGTTGATTTTTGTTATTTGAATTCCAAAGCATCTAGAAAGAAATTGATAAAGGTAATTTATGGTATATCTATTTAGTACTTAAATTATATGATATTTTAATCATATATTACTTTTAAATTATAATAAAGGTTTTAGTTGGAGTACCTCGAACAAGGCTTGAACTTCTTCCTTATTATTCGCGCTTAATTGCAACTCTTAATCCACATTATCCAGATATTACAGAGATAGTTTTGCATGAGGTATGTTCATCAATATTTTATTTTAACAATATTAATTTATCATTTATTTATGCTTTAATTTATTCTTAATTTAGTTGGAAAATGAATTCAAATCGATGCAAAGAAAGAAAACGAATGATTTTCTTGAAATAAAAATAAAGGTGATGAAACGTTTCTTAATTATTTAATTCACGTAAGAATTTAATAAGAATTTCTTTATTAATATATCTTTTTTCTTCATATTAAGAATATTCGATTCATTTCTGAATTAACAAAATTCAGAATCACTCCGCAGCACATAATTTTCCATTGCCTTAAAGTGTTGCTTGATGATTTTGCGAACCAAAATATCGATGTTGCTTGTAATTTACTGGAAACATGCGGAAGATTTTTATTCAAAAGTCCTGAAACAAGCGTCAGAATGACCAATATGGCAAGTAATTTTTCGAATAAATATATATACACACAACAATTCAATTTGATCTTGATTAAAAATGCTAGTTTCACCCTTTTTAGTTGGATATTATGATGAGGAAGAAAAACGTTCAACATCTTGATAATCGTCATCTCTTGATGATTGAGAACGCGTATTATCAGGTACTAGGACTTTTATATAGATAATACCTTTTCCTATCAATACCATAAGTTAATTTCGTTTAAATATTTTTGTTAAATCTAGTGTAATCCTCCCGATCGAACAGCGATCGTTCAAAAAGAGCGATCAGTTATGGAACAATACATTCGTAAGCTGATTTACTCCGATCTCAACAAAAAAACTGTTGAGAAAATTCTTAAACTGCTTCGAAAGTTGGATTGGGAAGATAAAGAAGTAAGAAATTCTTTAATTTAGAATATTTTATATGTTGTGTTCGTAAGCAATTACTTATTTTTTTCAATTTTTGTAGGTATACAAAGTTTTAGAAAAATGTTTTTCCAAAGTGTGGAAGATCAAATATAGCAATATACATTTAATGGCCGTTCTGGCTTCAGGCTTGAATCGTTATCATTCTGATTTTGGGGTAACATTAGTTGACAGAGTTATCGAGGATATCAGGATTGGTTTAGAAGTAAGTTTGTATGAAATGGTTTATAGTTTATATACATATTTATATGTAATCCTAATTTTTTGTGGATCTATTTTTTTTAGCAAAACATTTTTAAGCATAACCAGCGTCGTATTGCTACTGTTAAATACCTAGGAGAACTTTATAATTATCGGATGGTAGATTCTCCTGTTATTTTTGATACCCTTTATTCCATCGTCACTTTGGGTCATGGTATCTTATATATGTCATTTCTTTTCTGTAAAATTATTCACTTTATTGATTTTCTATACTTAATGATCAAACAATATTTACTATTATTTCCTTCTTAAAAGAATTTGGTCGCCCTGCTCCAAATCGTATTAATTATTTGGATGCTTCAAATGACTTCTTTCGCATCCGTTTATGTTGTACTTTACTCGATACCTGTGGTATATGTTTTGATCGAGGAGTCTCTAAAAAGCGTTTGGATGATTTTTTAGTTTTCTTCCAGGTAAGCTTTTGTCTCGTGAGATTCATTGATTAAAAAATATTTTAACGCTAAGTTTTTTTTAATAGATGTATATCCTTACGAAGCAAAGACCTTCTATGGATATTGAATTTCTGATTGCTGATTTATTTGAGGTATGAAAAGTGAAATAATTTAATCCTAACAAATATCTATAAACTTTTTAATTAATTAATTAATTAATGAATTTTAATGAATGAATTACATCTCTTAGATGTTAAGGCCAAATATGACAATATATAAGACGTACGAAGAAGCTGCCGAAGTAGTAGATAAAATGCTTATAGAAAATCAAAAGGCACTACAAGATGCTCGAGGGGCTCAGGATGATGGTATGGAAGAAAGTGAAATGTCATCTACAGATGATGATGACGACTACGAAGTTCAGGATGATGAAATAGATGGGAGACTTGGCGACGCGGAAGGATCTGAAGAGGTAAGTTTTTATTATCTAGATATTTTATTCTTTATAAATTACTGAATAACTTTTAATATGATTATAGGCTGAAACTGATGAAGTTAATGAAGTAGAGGGAGATGATGAGCTTGTTGTTCATACTAATAGACAGGAAAAAATTTCTACCGAAGATGACGAGGAATTCGAAAGAGAATTCAGTAAAATGATGACCGAGAGTATGGAATCCCGTAAATATGAACGCAAACCCGCTATGTTAGATGTTGCGATACCTATGAATCTAAAAGGTGGTGACAAAGCTTCAGACTTTTTGGATGGTAGTGTTGCGTTTACATTATTAACAAAGAAAGGAAACAAACAACAAATGAAAACAATGGAAGTTCCTTCGGATAGTGCTTTAGCCGTCAATACACTCTCTAAACAAGAAGCTGAGCGTGAAGAACAACAACAGCTTAAGAAGTTGGTATTAAATTACGAGGAGAGAGAAGAGCAAAGCCAACGTATTGCTCTTGAGCAATCTTTAATTAACAGTGGAATGAAGGTTTCCTATCAAACTGGTAACCGTCGTCCTAGTCAGAGAGGTCGTAGAATGTTGCATCATCATGGCGGAGGTGGAGGCTTTGCCTATTCCAATGATAGGTATTTCTGATTATTTAAATTCGATTTTAATATATTTCATTTTATTTAACATTACTTTTTTTTTTCACTTTAGACGAAGGTGAAACCTTAACATTTGTTGAAGCATAACTGATGGAAATGATATTATTTCCAAAGTTGATTTTCATTGTATAACACAAACAAAAGGGAGGCGCTTCATTCAAAGAATCGTTTTAACGTTTCATCCCACATGCAGTTATTTTGTTTCAAAACCGAATCATTATTCATTGAAACTTCTACCTCGCCAAGATTTGTCCACATTCTGCCTTTAATTGAAAATTCACTTATGATAGAGGCAAATTTAACGACATGAAGAAAAGAATATTTTTTTTCTTGGTGTACTTACCAAACATAAAGGGGAAATAAGGGATGATAGTTGGCAAGTGATTTTGTTCGATTCATTTGCTAATTTCTATGTAAATATTCAGTCCTATTATTACGTATCGTAATTATTACAAACGCCGCATTTATTTCAATGGGTCTGATTTTTTTTCGCTTCCTAATTTCCGTTTAATATAGCGTGTGGTAGTTTAATTATTTGTACTCTTTGTTTCGTTATTAGAATTGTTTTCTATTATAGTTGACGTCAATTGTCAATTAATTTGAAGATGACTTTTGTAGAAGTTGAATAGATTGTGTACGAATATAGTTTATTATTTCTGTTCTATATATAACAAATTTTTAATAAATATCAATTATATTATATTTTAACCAGTCTCGAATTTTTATTGGTTGAATTTATAGGTTTAATCATATAGTATTTAATTATAGGAATAATTATTATTACTAAAGAAAATTAGTCCTATTACAAAATCAATTGTTTTATTAATACTTAATATAATAATCTTTTTGGTTTAATATAAATTTTTTTATAATTATGATTATATTTAAACCAATATTAATAAATAATTAATAGTTAATTAAGTTATTTAACACTGTGTTAAAAAATTATGATATTTTACAAAAGTAATATGATTGATAAAATTTGCTAAATAGAATTTTAACAAATTTTACTTATTATATTACTTGTTATAAAACACAATAGTATTATAGTTATATGATTTTTAATATATTTCATTTTATTATTTTAATTTATCTTTTGTTTTTTATAATATAATATAAAATTTTTATTAATAAGTTTTTTTATCTTCTTTTAAATAACTTGTAATATTTGATAAATATATATTATTTAAAAATATAATAGTAAATACTGAAAATAAGTTAAAATTATAAATAAAATAAATGGAAAATAGATATTTATTATGAATATTTTTAAAAATCAAAAATCAAAATATTATTAAACTTTACATTATACAATTTATCTACAGTGTAACTATTAAAAAGTATAAAGATACTTTAAAAAATATTATATATATAATTAGCAAATATTTGCACAAATTGAAAATATAAATTTATATAATAAACTGATTTTTCAGATTTGTATACTTATTTTAATGATCTTTTAAAGATATAAAAAAGAAGAATATTAAGAAATAAAATCTATAGATATATTATTAATTGATAAAATTTATCTGATTATTTGTCATAAAATTTTAAATCCTAATGTTTCTTTAAGCTTATTAAAACATTTTTTTTTTAGATTTTTATATTTATTGCATTAAGAAGATAGTTTGCAATTTAAAAAAAATTAAATATATTTTTATTTATTAGCTAATTAAAGTCTTAATTGTAATATTTTTGTTTTAAATTATATAATATTTATTATATTTATTAAATTAATAAAACACTTTATTTTATTAGTTATAATTTAAGAAAAATTGATACAACAATAAGCAATTGGTTGATTATATCATATGTTTTATATTTTAAAAAATATGCATTAAATGTAGAATTGACATTAAAGATAAAAATATTTGCAATCATTTAAAAAGAAAAACAAGTATAGTTGAATTCTTTAATCTTAAAATCCCTGAAAATACTATATAACTATTATTAATTACTCTTCTGTTGATAGTATCATCAAATCAAATAATAATCATAAAAAAAAGTATTTTTAACTGACTTAATAGATTTTTTATTAGTAAATATTTTTTATTTTAAAATATTATTAACAGAAACTAATTTTTTTTATGTAAAAAAAGCTTAACTGATAAATCTGATATTTTAAACTTAAAGAATTAATCATTTACATTTTTTATTATTAGTATATCTAATTATTTTAACCAAGATAATAAAATAAATAAAATTCAGGCAATAATTTATTTTAAAAAAAAAAATAATTTAGATAATTTTTTTAGTCCTATAGATATCTGATATTTTGAATCAACTTTGTAATTTATGTTTTAAAACTTAAAATTTATTAGTCAAACTCGATAATAAACTCAAAAGCAAATTAGTATATATTATATCATAATTAAATACTAAATAAAGGATAATATTGAAAGAAAAAGTATTTATATATTTTTTAATTGATTCCTTTATTTATAACTTGAAACTCACTAAAACTCACATAAAAATTCGAAGTTTCTAAGCTTTAAACCTAATTTATAACTTTAGTAAAAGGTGATAATTTATATAAAAATTATTTTACTAACTATTTGCTATGCTATAAATTAACTAAACAAAACAAAAATTAATTTAGTAAAATAATATAAATAATTAAATGATAAAAAGAAATAAAAGAAATTAAACGAATTAAATTGTTATAGAAGTAGTAGAAAAAAACAGGAAAAACTGGCTAAATTAAATTTAATGACTTTTTGCAGTTCATTCTATTAAAAAGACAGGCAGGGAATCTTATTTTAAAAAACAAATCTTTTATTTGATTAAAGATTAATACAAAACGCGTTTTTTTTTTAAAGATATTAATTATTTTTTTTTTTTAACAAGTAGCGTTGTTTAACAGATTTCAACTTTGTATTAACGAGGTAAAAGTTATTAGAAAATATATTAATAAGTAAAAGTTAAAATCATGCATTTGATTACTTACGGTACAACTAAAAATTTTACATGTAAGATTTAGATTAAATTCCTAAATTATTAATGTAACCGATGTTTCTTCCAGACAAAGCAGGCTGCGATATTAGTCTCACCATTTCTTACTCCTTCAATGTCGTCATGCGAAGTTGGGTTATATTCGTCGTACATTGGATATTCCGTATCAATGTATAGTGAATTGTCAATACTATCTTCACCATAATTGTTTACAGATGAGTTATTATTTGCCTGTATTAAATCTGTATTATGTTGGTATTGAAGCATCCAGTTCCATGGGACCTGATTTTCCATCATTGACGTTTGTGGTATAATACGAGAATCACACATGGGAAATTCATTTGAAGGAATCCAATACTGATGATCTTCAAAAGATGTAGGAATTGGGTAAATATTAGAATCTTCAAAGGATCCTTCATGACCTATACCTCCGTATACTAACGCATTATTACTTTTGTATTGCATGTCTAAAGTTAATTGATCATCGGTATTTTCGGCAGTATCGCATTTACTACGATCTTTATGACGAGTGTCATTAATGTTTTCTTGATAAGTCCATTTACTTTGAATAGGCTCGTCGAATAAGTCGACATACATATGATCATCTCTTGCAAATATTTCTTGACAGATTTTTCCATCATCTTTAACATTAACATCATTTCCAAGTTCAATATTAGATGAATTATTATGAAATTTTTCTAATTCCTCTTTGGATAAATCAATGAGACTGTCTTGATCAAGTCCAGTGGTCATATTTGATCGTTCAGTCTTTGCACCTTCAGCAATTACTGCACGATAAATTCGACTACTTTGATGTTCATTGCTTTTAGCCGTATTTTGATTCTGCAATTTTGATAATTTATTCAAAAGTAATGATTTTCGTTTAATCCAAGAGGGATTAAAATCTACAACCATTTTCTCACTGTCAGAATTGCTAGAGAGCATTTTTTCACTATCATTTTCTTCTGCCAATGTCGTATGATTATTCTGTGGATCCTTCGTACCTTTATTGACTGGCAAACATCGTTGCGAACAGGTTGAATCTTCATCTAATTTCATAGGCACCTTCCCAGACGATTCTTCATATTTGGGTGCAATTTTATCAACTTTAGAATCTTCTTGATGATTACCAATTTGAGATTGCTTTTCCGCATCAACAACACGAAACGAATCGACCGTCTGAACAGGATAAAGTTTATCTACTTGTTCAGTCGATTTGTGTTTACCTTTCGGTGTACATTCATTTAAACAATCTTTGGCTTGATTGCTAGCAAAATAAGATGACGTAACTTTCTTTTCTTTCCTAGATCGAGACGCTTTATGGTATGAATAAGAACGTGATGTTGATGATGATTCAGGACTAACTGTGCGTCCAATATTATTAGATGGAGGAAATCTTTTGTCATTTTGTAAAGCATATTTAAATGGCTTCTTATAATTTTGACCATTAACAAAATGTGAGGATATTTCGTTTTTCTTGGCCTTAAATTTGGGCATTTTATCGACACGCGCGTGTCCCATGGACGACGCGTCCATTTCCCTTTTGTTGCTTGATCCCAAACTAGATTTACAATCATTGTCAAGATATCGACTATTAATTGAAGATGTACTCTTCACTTCACCTAATAAAATAAAACAACGAGATGAAACTGACAAGGGAATATCTTTCGACCCCATTCGAATTAACCGTGACCAGTTTGACTTACTGTAATGTTTACTGTTTGATAGATTTCCTCGTACTTTTGGTTCCTTTTGTTTATTCTTTATCTATAAAGATAAATTAGTAATTTAACGTAAACACATTTAGAAATAAAATTTAAAATAATTACCCTCTTTGTTGAATTCCTGAGACTCTTATGGTGGTCAGAATCCGAAGTTTCATCTGTATCTTATGATGAATTTTTAGTCACATCTTGCTCGTTTTGATGAAACTTTTTTGATATATCAGTTTTGTGGTAAACACGGCTAGAACAATTACCTTGATGGGAATCATCATTATTTTGATTTATTCGTTTACGTGATGGATTCGAATTGAGAAAATCGATTTCGGAGAATACTAGATCAGGAACTGTAAGCGAATTAAAACGACGTGCCTACCAAATGAAAGTATTACATCACAAATTTTACCTCCTCTGGATTTTACTTTTTCCGATGCTTTTCCTTTATTAAATATCCCAACTCTAACTTTATTATTCGGTTGGAGCTGTTAAAATCGTGTTGATAAAAAAAATTTATAAGGAATAAGTTTAAAATAGTAAATAATTGACAAGAAAGGTAATTATGAATATAATTACAGTTAAGCGATCTGTCCCGAGTTTATCCGAAAACCAATTCTGTGTTAATTAGTAAATAAATATTTTTATTATTATTATTATTATTATTATTATTAATTTTTGTAGAATTGAAGAAATATCATTGTATTAGAAATTCACATACTCATACCCGCATTATTTGAGAACTAGCAAGCAAACCTCTGCTTTTACGACCTTTACGACGGTTCGTATTAATAGCACTTCGCGAATGATTTTTCGAAGATTTGTCCTTTTCTTTTCTAGAGAATTTTTTGTTCCTTTGGTCCTTTTCCTTTTGTACATGCTCACTATGTCGCTGGTTTAATGATGTTTCCCTCAATGGAGATCTCCTTTCAGGAATGACCTTTCTAGCCCTTTGTTTTGAGCAGGGTTTTGATTGTTTAATCTCGGGTGTTTCAGATTTCTTTGATTTTCGTAGATGAGATCTCGAGATAAAAAGCGAACTATTTATTGAAGATAGATTATCTTCAACAGAATATCGCGAATAACCCGAAAACGCAGTCTTACGACTTGTTTCAGAATCCGAAGACGAATAGTCTGTTTTAAATCAAAATGAGGACAAAGTTGGTAAATGAATGACAGAAAATTATTAAACGGAGAAGTACCATCATATGTTTGTTGTGACTCTTCATAATTTATTTGTTTCTGCTCCAGAACATAATCTAAAATGGATTGTTCTTGGAGGGATTTTCTTTCCACGAAGCTTTCGGTATGTTCCCTTAAATTATCTTTAGTCAGACGAGCGCACTGTAGTTGAACGTGTTGAGATGACATTTAAGAATCTTTTATCAGGGTAACAAAAGCAACTTTGCGAGCGAAAAAAAAAAAAAGAAAAGAAATAAGAAAGAAAGAAAGAAAGAAAATGAAAAGAAAAGAAACGTAAAAAATCATAGTATTCAAATTCGTGAATTGATTTACTATTTAAATGGATAAACTACTTGGATCAAGATTCGGAGTTCTAAAACATAATTTAAAATCGGAAATGTCAAACTTGTTTAACTTGTTTGCAATCCAGTGGATTCAGTTATTGAAAAACAAAACCCGATTTGATCAGTTAGCCAATAATTTGTTAAAAAACATATTTAAACGGGTTCAACTAAAGATATCCGGTTCGATCAATAAAAATATATATTTAAATATAAATGTAACAAATTTATTATTATTATTATTGATTTGCTTACATATATTGATTTACGTAACCACTTTATAAACCTTTTTTGATTTTATTATCTCATTTTTTCCCTGTTACTAGAACTTGTCAAAAAAGAGTTGACTCTAGTTTCTCCCTTCGTATTCCTTGCTTTGGATCCCTTTTACGAATAATATAACGATATAAATAACGTATTTTATGAAATTCGTTTATACTAATATCGATCTTTATTCTATCCGAAGTGATGAGTTTTCAATTTTGCACGATTAGATTTACTTTTTGAAAAGGAATAAGTCTTTGATTATTTTAAAAATAAAATTGCAAATTATTTCGATTTTCTCAATGTAATTCTCAAAACGATCCTCATTTATGAGAAAGAACTTGGGCAAGCGCAAAGTTTTCTTAGTAATAAATTCTAGTTTTCTTTATATTCATTGAATAACAAGAATAATGACAATACATATAGCAGTTTTTTGATGTTCATCTCCTTAATAAGTTCGCGTGGGCAAGAAACCTTGGAGTATGGCAGTGACTTTTCAGCGTGTTCACAATGGGGATGATTACAAGGTTTGAATATCACTTGTAATTAATTTTATTATTGAATTTGTCTGTTACTAAATAAAGGTTAGGACTCCTAATTTTGTTGTTTCATTTTGATTACGTATGACACCACAAAAGGTATTCATGTGTGTAAGGTCACCAGATACGATTTTGCAGTTTCATGTTAAAGAATGCTTGGAAGAAGAGTGGGTAAGTGCATTTAGTATGTTTGAGGTTTCCATTGGTGATGACACCAAGTCAACTGGCATATCCACATGGTTAGATGCATGGAACATTCTCATAATGTAATATCAAATATGCATCATAGGGTACCTTTGCAATGGAAAAATAAAAAAAATTGATTCAATGCTAATATTTTGGCCTAAAAATCATATTGTCTTATAAAGGAAAATTGGATTTTTTCTTTCCGGCAGTATTTCCCTCTCTATTGCAAAGGTCCCATATATTTGTATAGTTTAACAAAAAAAAATTTTCATGAAAAAAGTTAAAGCATAAAATCAACAATTCGGACAAAATAAGAAATTGTTATGATGGTTGATAGGGAATAAAAAAAAAAAAAAAAAGTAATCTATTAGATAATTCAAACCAGCCGAATTTTTTGTATGAAAAATAAAATATTATTAATTAATGTATTGCTTTTTCACGTGCAGTTTATAATTTTTTTTTTTTTGTATCGGACAAAAGTGAATGAAACGTAAATGTAAATTTGTGAGAATACTCATATTTTGCAAATGAAACGGAATTTAATTTTTTTTTTTTATTAATTATCTTTAATTTTTTTTTTGTTTGTTTCTTCTATGAGAAAAAAAATTAGTGATTTTTTAAAAACTATACTATTTACTAATAAAAGACTATACACTATATATGTAAAGGGTGGTAATATTTACTTTTTTTTTTTTTTTTTTTATTTTAAAAAAAAAAACAAGAAAAAAAAAAAGGTTTCTACATACTGTATGTATATTATTACTATATATTTTAATTGCTGACAACTTTTATATTTTGCTGTATGTTAGTTAATTCAAATTATGATAATTATTATTATATTTTTCTTTTCTTTGTTGGGGGGTTGAATGCTATATGTTTGTGTATTAGTTATAAATTTATTTTTTTCTATAAATTTTTTTTTTTTTTTTTTTTTTTTTTTTTATGTTGTTTTAAGGATTTAATTCGTTTATATAATCTTGATATAAAATTGTCAGCTTTTAATAAATATTCTTGGTTTTATAGATTTTGCTTGTAAGCCTAATAAATCCATAGAAAATTAATCATAAATTTTTGACCGTTGCGATAATACTCATTCACAACTCATATCAACTTCACCAATCATTCACCTCTTTTTTATTCGATAAAACGATAAGAATATCAACTTTCAAAAGTCCATCCTTCACTACTCATACAAAACGAATTACAAATAATCGTCTCCCGATCACGTTCTTAAAAGGCGGTTACCATTTCGTCCACTCAGAGCAGCAGATAAAAGTGCAGTCGTTAAAGTCGTTGCGGTGCTTGCATTCCAGCTCAATTGCATGGTAACCTGTCGTGTAACCAATCTCAGGAATTCGTCCATTAGGCCACCGCGTAATAAAACCACCATAACTAGGTAATATAAAAATCCTGACACCCTGCGTGCGATTAATCTCCTCAATAATCTCGTGAAGAAAAGCTTTACGCGACGCACGCTTCTAGATCGTATGATTGAAAGATAATTGTGACGATGGGTTGGTGATGAACCATCATCATCATCATTAGGATGTTGCAATTGTTGTTGATTTTCATCGACTTGAAAATGAACATGATGAGTATGATGGAGATCAAAATGAGAGTCATTGTCCTCATTTGTTGTCTTACATATAGGTGTGATGGAGGGGAGATGTTGATTAAGGGGGTTATGCGACGTTAATGCGGGCACTTCCTGATCGATGACGGTAAATCGAAGATTAGGAGATGCCATGGGGGAAACTCTTTGTGATATTGGTTTTAAGGGTCTAGGTGATAAGATGGTATTATTGTTTCTATTGTGATTGATATTGTTGTCGATAGGAGTAAATGAATGGAGTTGAGGTATGAAGCGTGAACGTGGCGTCATTTTTAACCAATTCGGGACAGCCACGTGATCCAAACCGGGTGATGCGGGTCGGCTGGAAACGGGAGTGCCCGGCCGGCTTCCGTGTGGGGTGGCTGGTCTACTGAAAAATGGAGTTGATGGACGACTATGAAATGGAGTATTATGCGCGGAATAGAATACGTCGTGCAAAGAGTCAAAAGATGTTGCTCTGCTCAAAGGTATTTGTAATACAGGTGATGGATTTCCGTAAAATCTGAACGCTTCGCAAGTTTCCGAATCGTATTCATAAGTATCTTTTCCACCTTGTTCTATAAAAATAGAAAATGTTAATAATTGTTTTTATTTATTCCATATGAAATTCTATAAAAGGAAACAATACGTCAGCGTAAAATGTGACGTAATAAAATGACGTAAACGTGACATACCTATAAGCACATTTTCTTCATCGAAATAATTCCAAATTTCCTTCTCCGAGGGAAAAAAGATACGGTTTAGGGATTCTTCGGGAAGGATACGTTTGACAATTTGCCAAATGCCCGAGTACATCCACCCATAATTTAGGATGAATACTAGGTTCAAAAAATAGAATAGAAATGGATTATTATTAATACGATTTCGGATCCGAAAAATCCGGAAAAAAAAAAATACATACTTGATCCCGCAGAACCAGGAAAATGGTGCCTCATGATGTCGATCGTAAACGGGACCAATTCCAGATCCTAAAAAAAAAATTTCCGTGGGAAAAATAATTATGAATTGTTTTTAAACAAATCGGTCTGACGATCTAAATTGCGTGAGAAAAATTACGATATGATAATTACCAAAGTGGAAACCCCGGCTCCTTTCAAATCTAACAAGATGACGTATTGCAGAACCGGTCCATCTCTTGATTCTCTAGTCCTGTCCAATAGCATCCTTCTGGCTACTTCCGCGTTATAAATGATAAATTTTTTCACCTCTTCAATAGTAGGAGATCCATCGTCACGCTTGTATTCACGCAAGTTGAACACTGCACAGGGACGGCCAAATTTATCGGTTTTATGAAAAAAGAATAATCCTTTTTCAACAAATAATGGATGAACGTCGGCGAGAGAAATGGTGTCAACATTATTTTCCACACGCCATCGTAAGTCGGATTTGAGAGTTCTCAAGGCTGAATCGAAATCGAAACCAGCTCGTCTAAGGAAACGAAATAGAGTGCCTAATGTTTAGGGAATAGATAATGATTTAATCACTACAATTAGCAAAACGCAAATAGATTTCTCGTGTTAAAACCGTTACCTCTGTCATTGAGATATTGTCTTATACGTTCAACTTGAACGAAGTCTAGGTCCAAGTCTTTTTGAAGTTCCAAGAGGAAATCAACGAGTGTAGTTTGTAAGTCATCGATTACGGTATCGGATTCCTTAAACAAAACATTTAATTGGATAATTTTCTCTTGCAAATGACTCGGACACATTATCGTGAAAAAAAAAAAAAGTGGGGGGTTTTTTTTTAAAAAAAAAAAGTAATATATAGAAATTTATTTATATATGTATTTTATGTAGATGTAATAAAATAAGTTTTTATTTTTGGCGTGTAATAAAGGAGTAAGACGATAAAGAGTAGGGGAGATTTAGATCGTATGGTCACAAGCAAAGACGGAGAAGAAACTGAAGAAACGGAAGGTTGTACTTTATATAAAATAGGAATTTTTTTTTATTTTTTTTATTTTTTTTTTTTTTGTAGAATGGGGTGACAACAGAAACAAGATTTTGGTTTCAAAAGTTTTTGGGTTAATTTAAAAAAAAATTTTTTTTCTCTTTATAAAAAAATTTTTTTTTGTAGTTAAAAATTTTTTTTTTAAAAAAAAAAATAATTTATATATTTGTAATTAAATAATGAATTTTTTTTTTGATTATAAATAGATCATACATCATACATCATTATATTATACAAATTTTCGGTTATAATGTGGTGACACATTTGAAGGTACAAGCAAGGTTAGTGGGCCATCGTCGTCACATCACCTACTTAGTCACAATGTCACCTATGCACTTATGTAACTTGAATGTTGTAATGTATTAGTAATAAATAAATTCTTATCACAATAGTTAGATTTCATCTCATGATTACTTTTGATTATCAGTTGATAAAAGATCAAAGGTACAGTATAATAATAGCCCTATTTTCCATAGTTAGAATAGTTAGATGAACTCGAAAAAAAATCAAGAGATTAAGCGAAATCGAAAAGTTCATTATCAATTTTGAATCTTTCAAAGATAAGATGAAACTTATCAATTTAATGTTATTTTGCCGACAATGACGAATATTAATGAACTTGACGGAAATTTGGTTGATGATCTTGATATTTTGGCGCAGCCGCTGCGCAACGCGGGAAATGTATAACGTACCAAAGGAACGAACGATTTAAATTTTGAGCCGATGATTTTATCAAATTTTTTATTATTTTGAATAGTGATGAGAAGGAAAAACCCCCGAGAATCATCGAATGATATTCACTTCAAACGTTAGGCGCGGTAATCAATTTTGAAATTTCGTTTGATAACATCAAGTATTTCAGATCTACAAGCATAACTCTAAAAAAGAGCTGGAGGAAAAAAAAATGAGAACCGTTCGTTTTATTAAATCCAGAGCCTACATTATGGCAACCAATCATTCCATGTTATGTGATAGGAAAGAGGGAAATAAGTTATTAAAAGAAATTAAAGACATCTTTTTTTTTCTAATGTTTGTTGCCCACCTGACAGATAAATTGTAATACTACATCTTATAATATGTAAATTTCAGCTGAAAAGATCCGATTTGGCAAAAAGGTGGACAGTAAATTTGGGTATATTATGTATATATCATGAATTAGGTTACACTTAAAAGAATATATTTGATTTATTTAAGGAGTACATAAATAAATTACAAAAAATCAAGGGTGCTATTTGTTTGTAAAAATTCAAATGTTAATGGTACTTTTGCGGCTAGGGCACGCCGAGACCTTGTCGCTCATGAGGTCTGCTGACCAAACAAATCTTACTTGCTCGAACAGGATCGTTCCATTCAAAATTTGATGCGCGTATTCTCATTTTTTTTTTTTTTTTCATTTAAATAATTGATTTAGGTTGTAAAAGGAAGATATTGGTTGGCTGTGTTTTCTCATTCGTCTCCGCATTAAGTTCCATTCCAGTTTATAATCATGAATTATTGGATATAGTAATTCAAAAGTTCATTGATCTAGCTTTTTTTTTTTTTTTTCTCTTTTTTTTTAATTTTTTTAAATGAGATGAGCACAACCTCTGTTTGGTCCCTTTTTATCGGCTCGGGTGTTTCCAAAACAAGGAAAAGTTACCAAGGTCTTCCTTATAGGGAACGGGTGATTAACTCACTATTCTAAAATCATGGATCATTTAAAGACTTTAATAATAAATGTTGTGCACTATTATCATGCACTTATTCATAATTTAGATTAATAACATGTGCATAATGATAATTCTGGTAATTTCGGTGTAGGCTACAAAACAGATGTGGGGAATTATATATCATGATCGTTTATTCCTATTAAAGTAACAAATTGACCTACCTTTTTTTTCCTGTCAAATGAGCTAAATGCGTCAAAACCCTATATTATTTGTGATAATCCCTTTCGCAAAATTGAAAGGTTTTGATTTTAAACAAATTATGTCATGATGCATCCATGATATATTACGGTGGCGTAGTAACTCGTCACATAAATTAGCGACACATATCAAGTTAGTTCTGTAACCGCCACATTGCCTTTTTGTTCCACCCTGTCAACTTTTTTTCAAGCTGTATGTCATATTTTCCTAGAATGAATAGAATGGTAGGTGTTTTTCATCTTTCTGCATTACCTGATCCATTACACGTTAATCACATGATCCGTAAAGATTATGTCATCATGACATTAAGGCTGTGTTACGAAAGTCGAAGAACATAGAAAAAGACACAAAAAGAATTTAAGTGACGAATAGACATTTTTAGCTCAATTTTTTTTTTTTTTTTTTTTAGGTAACGTTTGTTTTTTTTAAAAAAAAAAAATAATCGGGATTGCTCTTTTTTATTCAAAAGAATGTTCGTTAAGAAACTAAGAAAACACGAAAAATTTATTGTTGACAATTAATTACACACGTATTTAGCCACACGTAATACAAATTCCGCCTGAGCATAAAGGATGGATTCGATCTTAAATTATCATACACTTTTCATCTTTTCCATCTTTTTCATCTTTTCCAAATGGCGAGCTCACCTTCAACTTATCCTATCAAAGGGATTTTTTACTTTTTTACGAATTTGAGTCTAATTCGAAGAATTATTTGCGTACTATTCTTAACTTTAATAGTATCCATACTATTTTTGTTTTTAACCTTTGGTTTCCTATTAACACTTCAAGCTAATGCCCTTATTAATGCTGGTTGTCCAGATTGGCTTGCTTGGACAGTGTCTGTAATATTTTGTTTGTTAGAATCAGTTGTCTTAACGATTATATTTTATTTAATCGTAACTCCAATATGGCAAGACGCTTTATTTGACGATGTTTTGAGATTAAAAGGCTTGGGTCATGTATTGGAAAAACGAACAATTTCAGATGTTGGTTGTAAAGGTTTTTTTTCGGGACTTACAACGGCATTCGTTACTATTTATACTTTAATTTTGGTTCAAGTAAATAATTTGTTTTGTTTTAACAAATTTTTTTTTTTTTTTTATGACATTTCGTTTTTTTTAATTTCCGTATTTACTTTTTTAGGTTATCGCACTCTTAATTACGTTTCCATTACATATCATTCCGGTTATTGGTACAATAATTTATTGCATCGTCAACGGATGGGTAATGACATGGGGACACAAAATTCATTACCATATAGAAATTAAAGAGTGGACTGTTAAACAATCTTTAAGTTTCGCTTGGAAGAATCGTCGTGATTATATCTCATTTGGTTTCGTTGCTGTAGCCCTCGAGTTAATTCCAATTGCGAATTTCTTGTTCTTTTGGACAAACGTTGTAGGTGCCGCTCTATGGACCGCTGATGTAAGTGTTATTTAAATTATAAGGACATTTCTTATGGAATCTTTTAATTATAAAAATTAATATATATACATTTATTTATTTATTTCCTTCCTTTTCAAATAGATGATTATTGAGGAACAAAGGTCACCATCAAGTGATAATGATAGTAGAGCTGGAACTTCTTCCTCTTATCAAGAGGCAGATAGGATGGATGGTTCTACTCACAATAAGTATGGGTCTACTGACACTATTTAATCCTAATTGTAATTATTATTATTTTTTTTTAGGAGTGATATTATTGTATTATATATTAAAATATATGTTGTAACTTATTCACATCTAGCAAATATAGTGCTTTTTTTCATTCATTATTTTCATATTTTTTTTTTTTTTTATAGGACATAGTACATATTTATCTTCTTCAATAAATAAATATATTATTTCTGATGTAAACATTGTTTTGTTTATTGGTGACTTTATCACCAAGTATTTAAAATAAAAAAACTTCTTTAATAATAATTGAAAGGTATTCTAAAGGTATAAGAAAATCTTTTGCTAGGTACAGAAGTTGCAGGATAAATATAAAATATAAAGCAGCTTTTGTTTTACATCACACCACTTTAGAGTATCTTCTGTAATATCTATAGGCCGAAGTTCTAACTATATTCGAATGAAAAATTCATTTAGAATCGCACAAAAAAAAAAATATGCAAATATACATAAAAATTGAATCGTCGTCGAAATAAATTCGAAAATTACAAATAATAAATATTTTAGCGATTCTGATTTTAATGCATAAACAGGTTTAGTAAACTTGGATTACAAAATAAACAGAATGATTAAATGTAACGCATTATCTTTTATATTATTAGAGAAGTGAGAGTATCGTAACTTGGTTTATTAAATAATTACATCAATGGTAAAAATAAATCAAAGAACATTCTCTTTAATTAATTTAAAATCACAAAATGCTTGCACTTAGCCAGATATAGAATTAACCAATAACTATTTCTCTCGGACACCGCGTAGAGGTGGCAAGCCTTGTTCGAGTTAAAAAAAATTTTTTTTTTTTAGATCATCATATAATCCAAAAACTAAGAAATTAGAGCGCACCGTATTGTTCTTTTCTAAATATTAAATTTATGTATAATTTCCCTTGAAAAAAAAAAAAACATTACCACAGGCAACATAATATGACATTAATGGTTACCCAGAGAAATAAGGGACAGTAAGGAAACCAAAAACATATAAAATGTAGCCCGGGTATTAAAGGTAGAGTGTATGTCGATCATTATTTATATACATAGTGGCAAATTTTGTATATGCTTTTTCACACTTTGTTGACTTTGCGTATAACGTTTTTGAATTTCTGTCTCATATAAAACGTTCGCTCACTTCTCAAAAACATTTTTGTAAGTTTTAAAAGTTAAACGGTTCGGTAGTTT